GTGTCAGCCAGCCACTGCCTGAGGCAGCAGTGTGGCCTGCTACCCGATCTGTCTGTGGCACCACCATCCCCAACAGAAGTCTACTGACCCAATTCTGCTCCAAGGCTGTAAGCCATGTGGGGCCCAGCTGTGCCCATGGTGGACCACTTGGCCTCCTCTCTGCTTGACCTAGTGTCTCATAGTCCTGGGGATCTGCCACACCCTCAGAGCTGGCTTCTAAAACTCTAACCCAGTTCCAGGTTGCCTGCGAGAAAGGTTCCACCAGAGTGTGGCTCAGCAGGGTTCCCTCCCTGAGCCCCTATCTCAAAGCAGAGGCAGGCCAATCTCTGTTGAGCTCCAGGCCAGCTAAAACTAGATAGAGAAGCCCAAAATAAATAGAATGGAACTGTAATGGAGAAAAGGAACTAGCTAGAGATTTCAAGCAGCCACCAAAGGGTTTAGTCACTAGAAATTGGCTTCTTCCTTTGGCAGTAGCAGAGTGCTTACGAAGTGGCCACAAGAAGATAGAAGCCACCATAGAACAAATGCCGAGCTCAGTCCCAAAGCTCCACTCCTCTCATTTACTTCTTAGGTTTACAACACCCGATCTTAGGGGTTTTGCTGGTACACATGGGCCCATCCTCTCGGCTACTCCCCAGAGACACGCCATCTGAGTAAACATGGGCTCCCTTATCCCACGTTCCTGAAGCTGTGTCCATCTCCTCCAAACTCTGCAGAAATTTGTATAGCTTCAAAAATGGATTAGAGACCGCTCCTGAAAGTTCTACAGTGCTAAGGCCCCCACACACTCTGAAAGGACTGGCCCGGCATTAACTGAGCATCTCGCCCATGAAGCAGATGTATGGTCCATGAGCTCAGGGCCTAAAGTCCCCTCTGAAGCCTCATGCCAACATTATAACCCCAGTGTTGCCTCAGACAATGCAACACTCCATCGAGGAAAAGGGCAGGATTGGCCTTGTACGGCTAAACCCAGAGGGGGGTTTGAGGTGAAAAACAAAAAATGCTACTTTCTAAACAGAAAGAGCTGCAAGAGGTACAAGGGAGGGCGAAGGTGCCACACACCAAGACCAGGCAGCAGAGAGGTTCTGGACAGCGTGTGAGGCGGTGCTGCCCAGGACTGAGTGGTAGGGTCTGAAGCAGACAAGTTCCAGGGGCAACCAGAGTGCCAGCTCAAGCTTCGTGCTCCAGAAAGGCACCTGACAGCCGCTTCACAGGGAGGGCTGAGTCGGGGGATGGGACTTTTTTTTTTAATGCACAGGATACAGTTATGAACTCTTCACACATGTACAGGCACTTTGAGGACTGGTCATTCTAAAGGTGTTTTTATTAAGACCTGGTTCCGTCACAAAGTATAAAAACTTCTAATACAAGTTATGAGAAATACACTCCAACTAGAGCAGGAGATTTCAGCTCGGTTGGCAGAGTACTCACCTAGCATACACAAAGCTCCAGCTTCAAGCCCCAGTGTCACACAAAATCCAGAGGTAGTGGTACATACCTGTAATCACAGCACTTCAGAGGTAGAGACAGGAAGTCAGACGCTCAAAGTCAGAGATGGCTACATAGCAAGGTGAAGGCCAGCCTTGGCTACATTGAGAACTTCTCACTAAAACTAAAAACAAACAAAAATTCACCTAATTGACTCAAACAAAGTAGGACAGAACACCAGTAGAATTGATTACTATGCTACAATTTTGGGGGGGGGGTGTTTGTTTTTTGAGACAAGGTTGCTCTGTGTAGCCCTGGCTGTCCTAGAACTCACTCTATAGACCAACCAGGCTGACCTTGAACTCGGAGATCCGCCTGCCTCTGCCTCCCGAGCACTGGGATTAAAGGCGTGTGCCATCACCATCCAGCTTTTTTTTTTTTTTTAAACAAGGTCTCACTGGTACTCAGGCTAGCCTGAATTCAAGATCCTCATCTCCATAATGCTGGGATTACAAGTGTGCACCACTGCATGAAGACACAATTTTCATGATCATGCAACAATCTGAAATTCAGTTCCCCAAACACAAGACTCAAAGAACCAGAGGAAAGCATCTCATTTTTTCTCCCTTAAAAGACACAATTCAAACTGGTTACTTGGACTCACGCTAATTCACTTCCATAGCCAGGCACTGTCAAGATGGTATTGGTACTCTCAACTGTATACACCGTTAGGGACAGACAGGCTTCAGGTGGAAACCACAGGCTAGGAACCACCAGGAGACAGCAGCCCCTTTCATGTCCCCTACTCCAGGGTGCAGTTTAAGTTAGGCCAAACAACTACAAACAACTGAAGAGACATTCCAAGTTTAGAGTAAACTACTCCACTGTCTACTCAG